TAACTGCGTTTCGGTATTCACAGCCAGTATTGAAAATCTATAGTTTATGTCACGTATAGTATAGATTTTCAGTATTTGCAGTAAATATCAGAATGCAGACTTTATAGGGAATTTGCTAGCGTCATTACTATTATTCTAATGGCTCCTGCACACAGGACGCGGTAATGCTTGCCGCGCGGCGGAAATTCGCGCGACAGTCAATCAATATGCTGCTTTCCGTAATAACCTTCTAGCTCTTACGGAAAAAAACATATTAATTGGCTGTCGCGCGGACTTCCGCCGCGCGGTAAGCATTACCGCGTCTTGTGTGCAGAAACCATAAGGATATTACACGTTTTATGCGTTTTTATACGTATTATACGTATTTTACCGTATAACGTAAAAAACCCTAGAAAATGCTCGAAAAACCCAACCCTGCACACTATAGCTGCGTTCTTTTATTCGCAATAGATGTAGCTGATGTCATGTTATCCTTTGATTTTATCGAATGTTAAACAAGGATAGAATGACATCGGCTGCATCTGTTGCAAATAAAAGAACATAGCCTATGGCTGCGTTCCGAAATTCACTGCCAGTATTGAAATTCTATAATATACGTAACATAAATTATAGATTTTCAGTACTGGCAGTGCATTTCGGAACACAGCCTATATAACTTATTGCATTAGTGTAGAGGTACAGTGGAAAAGACACTTTTTATCAGTCCGCTTATTGGAAAACGCCCTGAAATCTGAATTTGTGGCTCATGAGGCAATATGTTTCTTCACTTTGACAGTTCACAGTAAGTGATAACGATGAATAGATTCGAATATGCTGATTCTCGGTTGCAGCCGAATGAGACTTTTGTGAGACGTGATATGGCTGTACGTCTCTATGATGGTGATACAAAGGTAGTTTAGAAGGTTATAATATTTTATATGAAACAATTTGTCATTCAAACATTTTGTACAACAGTTGATTTTGTACAATGACTTGAAAACTATTCTACCATGTTTTTATTTATCTTTAATTTATCATTGTAATTTCGAGTAAATCCTATAGATATAAAGATATGTTAATGTTAAAATAATGTTTAACACAGACAAACTTTGAAGGCGGGGAACTAATTCTAACTAGCCATAGAATCCTTTGGGGCAGACCTGGTGACATACCTCGAGGTAGTACTTGTTTGTCTTTGCCACTTAGATATATTATTTTCTTTGAGGAAGAAAATCTTGGACCCTTCTCTTTTGGACGCAGTAAAAAGATTGTATTACATCTTTCTGAGCCTGCTATTGGTAAGACATGGTTAACAAGTCATGGTTAAATGAATAAATTACTTAATAAAATATCAAACTAAGAATATTTACATATTTTTAGATAAAATGCCAGGTCCCACAGATAAGAATTTGTATAATTATGTCAAGCTATCCTTTAAGGCAGGCTTAGACTCAAACTTTATTCCGCTATTATCTGATACTATTATGAGACGGTTATGGGAATTTATGCCTGCTACTGAATTAATGTCCAACATGAATATCCATGATAATCAAAGGAATTCAGGACTATTACCTCAAATAAAAACACGAACTGGTATCATAGGGATTGAAAGGAGTCTACAAGAGAAACAGAAGGAAACTGACGAAAGTATATCATTGGCATTTCAAGACCTCACAAAACTTATGGATATGGCTAAAGATATGGTGGCCATCTCAAAGACAATCTCGGCTAAAATAAGGGTGATTTTCAATGATAGCTCCGTAAGGTTGACATTCATAATGCAAGATCATTACAGGCAAGACAAGGAGATATAACAGAGGATGAAACAATCAGATTTAAGGCTTATTTAATGAGCCTAGGTATCGATGATCCAGTAACAAGAGATGCATACAAGAGCAGTAACGAATACTTTAAGCAATTGGCCAAACAACTTGCACACATCTTAGAAGAACCAATAAAGGTTTGTAGCTTGAATACTCAGCAAATGCAAAAAACAATTGGAGATATTGTATCTACTTTTAGGAAGTAGGTGGTATGATGACACTTACAGATGTTTATTGCCGTGTAAATAGAGCAAGAGGCCTGGAGCTTCTGTCTCCTGAAGATTTATTACATGCCAGTAGACAGCTAACGCTTTTAGGTTTACCGATTGTACTAAGAACGTTCGACAGTGGTGTTATGGTTCTTCAAGTTCTCTCTCACGACGATAACGCTGTTGCTGACCGTATAATGGAATTAGTGAGTATTGGATACTATGTATATCACGGGATGTAACATGATTGTTTCTCATAAAATTGCAGCTGAAGCAGAAAGGATCAATGACGGCCGAAGATCTCGCGCAATCGGAAGGAATATCGGTGATATTGGCACGCGAGAGATTGCTAGTTACGGAGAAACACGGCAAAGCTTGTAGAGATGATTCAATAGAAGCGTTGAGATTTTATCCCAATCTATTTTTAGAGGAAACTCCTGTATCTAGTGAATAACTTGAAACTGCTACGAGTGATCGTCTTCTTTACCGTAATCAGCATAACTTCGGCCATGATGTAACACCAACACGTCAGGTTTTTGTACACTTATTAAATCTTTATACGTCCACAACAGCTAAATCAAATACAAACGCAATTAGAATTTTAAACTTATGTAAAATACAAATACTTATTTTTAAGCATAATTAATTTATTTTTTGTATCTCTAATAATACGTTTTTTTTCTAAACTATTTAAGATAATTGTCTTTTTTTTCTTGAATGAATTTTGGAAAGTGTAAAGGTAATAAAGTGCAAGGCATCATCCATTAATTGAAATATATTTTTTTCAATTTATTCATTTTAAACGAACTGTGTAAATAGAACCGCAACCACATGATTAACAATGATCGTGTATAATTAATAGTACATGACTTTCTCTCTCCCTCTCTCTCTCTCTCTCTCTCTCTCTCTCTCTCTCACTTTCACTCGTCTATATACACCAGAAATCAAGTATGCGTTGACATTTTTTATATAGAAAAGTTATATACGTTTCCAATCTTATGCCACAACACTTTAACATTTATTTACTAAGATTTCCTATAATTTTCGATTGTATATATATATATATATATATATATATATATATATATATATATATATATA